TCATTCACTATTTGGTACCAACTGGACACCTCCCATGGACCACGTAACGGCCATGAGATGTTCTTCTGAGCAGAGAGGAGTTTTTAATAATGTCCAAACACTTTTGCAATCTGACTCTATCGGATATAAAAAAAAAAAAGTCTGATCTAAACTAGGAAAAATATCAAAAAAAGAAAAAAGGATAAAGAAAAGCGCTACTCAAAGACACTGTATAGATGGACTCTGTCAGGGACAGTGCTCACCAAAAGATCTGAAATAACCAAAAGGGAAAAAGCAGAATCATCTGCACACTGAAGAAGGCTGCTTCTGCCCTCCACCCTCACCAGCCTCCACAACCTCTTATTCGGACATCTCCACTGTCATTCAGCCTTCAGTTCAATCACACTTTCAGTTCATTCACACCTTCAGTTCATTGACAAGAGTCCTGCTCTCAGCCCTGGCCTGTCCACCACTTTGTTCCAGTTTGTTGCTCGGGATGGCCCTCAGATACATAAATCATCATTTGAGAGAGCCCTGACAGCAGCAAGCAGACAATAAGACTGGGATCTGCTTTTAATAAACCATGATGATCTGCTGTTACTAAGCTCTGTTCCTTCTGGGGCAGTATCTTCAATCTCAGAGATGACCCCAGGCGGAGAACAGAGTCTGTGCCAGAGGTTGGGGTGGATTACCCAGTTCCTGATAAACTGGTCTCCATGTCCCCCTCAGTCGTATTCTGGCTTTGCCCACCCCCCCCCAAGGGCCTTCCGGGCATCGCTGTTGCCCGTATTCTCTTCTCCATATGTCACATCACCCCTTCAAGAGCCTGGTGAACATCACTCCTAGCGTGGGGCCATTTTTTTCAAAGCCTCAGCCCCTTGGTTTAGAACACCAGGGAATTCTGTCCCATTGCTACACGTTTTGTTGCAGCTAAATGTCAGGGAAAAGAAGTTTTACTGATGAGGAACACAGCATTCACCAAACAGAACCCACTTCAAGACAGATGTTGTCTTTAAATCAAAATACTCATGAGCCATGATTAATTAACTAATAACGATAATGCAGTGCGTCGTGACACCAAGACTATTGTTAGTTTTTATTTAAAGGCTGTAGAGTATATGAATGTGTCTCTTGATGTTACTCTCCAGCAAGGTAATAAAAATTAAGATTTTAAGCACAAAATTTAAAAAATACATATAGGAGTAGAGGAAGGGAGATTGATAGAAGAAGTTGATAGGAATCTATTGTAAACATGCGAGAAAATGTAGCAGTGAAACCCCCAGTATAACCAATGTGAGCAAATATCAAAGAAGTGATCATTCATCTTGTTACACTTAATAATGTTTACATTTGCACCCATCAAAACAAAAGGCCCCACAAGACGCTCTTACACAAAAGCCTAAGAACGTTTCTTCCAGTCCTCAGGTATTCCCTCCTGTAGATCTGAAAAGATAGTATTTAAGGGCCTAATGATTTCAAGGAGTCTTAAAAACCACTTCCTTAACACACGAAGCCCACACACATTGTGTGTATGGCCCTCTCCTCAAGCCCTGCCTGGCTGTTAGGAACTCACCCAGATTCCACGATGTGTCCCTCCCCCCACCCATCCCTGCCTGGCCTACCTCTGTGAGCCAGTCTATTGCTTGTGGTCTTTTGTTTCAAGCCCCCAAGAGACACAGCACCCATAAGTAAGAAGACAAGAACTAAACAAAATAATCTTCCTAACTGGTTGCTCCTGTTCATTCTCTCCTGGCTATCTTCTCTTGTTCTTTCATCTCCATCTCATCCATCCTTAAAGAATTGCACAAGATTAAGTAAATATTAAAACACCAAATACTAGCAAGTTGATTGATAACATACCATGTGAGAAATGCCTTTACTGGTGAATCTCATGGCACTTGAAACTAGTTATTCATTCTTTGGGAAGAGCAGACATTCAATAAAACAGCTGTTAGGTCAGTTAAATGTAATATATTCTAATCATCAGTAAATAATTTGTTTTGTTTGCTTACATGGTTTCTGGACTTGACTCCACAATATGTGGCTAATAAGTTACATGAGGTATTGGGATATTAGAGTTGTCAGACACGTTTTTTTTTTTAAAAAAAAAAAAGGTTAAAGAGAGAATTCTTTTGAATAAGAAGGGACTTTTGAAGAGTAAGGTTTGTCCTAACTGATTGTTCCAAAAGAGAAGAGAGAAATTAAGACCAACCTGAGAATGTTCAAGAAAATAGAGAATGGGAATATATCTTGGGTTTTAAAAGATAAAATTCATAAAACATTAGTATGATTGGTATATGATCAGGACAGCTGTAATTTAAAAGCTTATCTAAATATATTTCTAAGATCAAGAATAATACACTGAGTTAACAATGAGGCACTTTTATATAGAGTTAGATAGATAGATAGATAGATAGATAGATAATTTATCAAAGTAATGGCTGGTATGACAGTTGATCTCACTAAGCTTTTGATGACTTAAAAAAACTGAATCTTAAGTCAAAATTCATTTACCATATTTTCTTTTTTCTTTTTCTGGCCATGGAGCTTGAACTGGGCCTGGGCGCTGTCCCTCAGCTCTTCAGCTCAATGCAAGCACTCTAACAACTTCAGCCACAGCTCCACCTCCATTTTTCTGGTGGTTTATTGGAGATACAAGTTGGACTTTCCTACCCAGGCTGGCTTTGAACCATGATCCTCTAATCTCAGTCTCCTGAGTAGCTAGGATGACAGATGTAAGCCACCAGCACCCAGCTCTTAACTACCTTTTTATCTCAAAGTTTTTTAATGGTCACCTGACAGTATATGAAACTGTAGACTACTGGGTCTTTCTACTTATTAAAACACCCCAACCACCCTCAAAACATACCTAAGTAAGCAAAAAGGAGGGCCAAGGATACACCCTCCAGAGAGCTATTAGCTAAGTTCTGTTTACACTCATTTTTATTTTAATTGTGACCAACCTAGTTTTACAGTGGCTAAGAGACATTTTCAAGTAACTCCTTCCACACTCCTTTGTGTGTGTGTGTGTGTGTGTGTGTGTGTGTGTGTGTGTGTGTTCCATTCCCTGTGGGACAGCAGTGCCCCCCACCCCCCCTGTGTCATGCTGTGCCATTAGCTGAACCCAGCAGCCCTTCACCCCTCAGGTACAGATGAAAAGATGACCTGGAAAACCCCAGCAAGTCCAGCTCCTTCGATTCCTGAAAACTAGGTGGGTTGTGGTGGTGTTTTAGCTTAATGAGCTATTATAGACAGCACCTCTGCTCAGCCTCCGCCCTCACTTTTGATCAGGACATTGGCAAACTGGACTTCTAGCCTTCCTGGATTCTGCAGTGGTCATCACAATGCATAGCTGCTCTTTCTACTTCTCTCCACGTAGCTGGACCAGCGGATTCTGGCCAAAAAAGCTTTACACAGGAGTTATGAACACAAACTCAGAACCATCGTTGAGGCTAACTGCCTTAGATCAAGCTATTGAGTGGCTTGGAGAACAGCAGCAAACTCCATGTGAGAGCCAACAACTCCGCTGTGATCCCGGTTCTGAAAAACTCTGTGTAAGTCCTCTCTGCCCTGTAAATCATCCCCAGTGTGACCCGGAATGAATAAAAAGCCATCTTCATGGTGCTGTGCCTGATTGCCTCCACCAAGAAGTGGCAAAGTCCTATTCCCATTGTTTTCCCAACAGAATGAGCTCCAAAGCTAACCTTGCACACCAGCTCTCCAGGAACTGCACACTAGTCTCCATTGGCTAACACTGGGCTCTCTGGACTCAAGCTGTGCATGTGAGGTTCTTGGCTGTGAGAATGATTCTTTCATTCTTCCAAGTAGCATACCTAGAGCTATCTACTGAACAGAAGGTGATCATACTGCTTTCTTCACAGCAGATGGGTGTTTTAAAACATGAAATAGGAGAGACATGAAAAGTCCCACAGGCCCCAGGACTGAGCACAGGAAGTACAAGTGCTTGGAGAATGCCCAGCACCAGCAGAAAATTGCCAGCTTGGGCAATCACCTTATCTTGAGTCTGAGTAATGACAGGCCATGTCGAGCACCTACACTCAACATGCAGGATGAGTAGCAGTCTACTTACCTTCCAGCTGCCTCTGTCCTGTTATCTGCCCTTTGGTCTACAACCAAAATCACCCCAACCCAACAGGTACTCTCTGACCCATTAAAAGCAGAGAGCAAGAGGGGCTGGGAAGGTGGCTCAGTGGTAGAACGCTTGCCTTGCATGCCTGAGGCCCTGGGTTCGATTCCTCAGCACCACACAAGCAAAAACAAAAAAGCCGGAAGTGGCGCTGTGGCTCAAGTGGTAGAGCGCTAACCTTGAGCTGAAGAGCTGTGGGACAGCGCCCAGGCCCAGAGTTCAGGCCCCACAACCGACCCCCAAAAAAATAAAATAAAAATAAAAGCAGAGAGCAAGAAGAGATCCCGCTGTTTAATCAAAATCTGCTGATAAAATTCATTCCTTACTTCATGGAGATGGATGGATGGACAGATGCATGGATGCATGGATAGGGTATCGTTGGGTAATACTTCATCCACCATCACTGTGTGGGTATGAGGAAAGATCACGTGGGAAATCAAGGTCTATGGCCACCAAAGACCCAGGTGTCCCCTCCAACTTCTATTTCCCGAGAGCCATAAGATGAAGAACAGCTCTGTCATATGTGTCCACAAATGCATGCTACTGGCCCAGACACAGCAAAGCGTCTTTGCTCAGTGTCCACCTAGTCATAGTTCTCTGAAGAGTGAAGAGTGGACGTATCTTCAGAAACCCCTGCTCTTCCCATCTTTCTTTTCAGAGCAGATGCTACCCGTCAGAGAGGGTGGCTCTCTCCTGACCTCATTTAGGCATGGAACTTTTAACCCGCATGGTGTCAGCCCCCATCTCGTAATGCCACGTCACCGAAAGAGACCACAGAGGGCCCGGGGCTCTATAAAAAGACAGAGCAGAGCGCTGCACTTTGTCCACCTCGGAGCAGGTACAAGTTCCTCCAGCCCCGAAGACCAGACGAATCATGTCTCCCAGGATGCTGTCCGTGGTAAGTCTGTGCTGACGCACTGGGTACTCCTTCACTGGGAACAGATCATGAGCTTTCTGATCATGAACGGATCATCTATTCCGGATGGGCAGGGCTCTGACTATGGAGATGCAGGAATACTGTGGACGTAGGATCAGGTATGAAACCTCTGCTAGAAACCGGACGCATTGTGCAGGATCGGCAAGAGCTGAGGCACATCAGTCTTGCAAGATGAGAGCAAAACTGAAAGATAGCGAAATTGGGGCCAAACCACATGAAAAGTGTTCCATGCTGCTGTCTAGTAAGGAAAAACAAATCTTTCTTGAGAGTCTTTTTGTTCCTGAGCACAAAGTAATGAATGCAGTTCTCACGTGGCATTTTTCTTTGGTTTATAATAAAATAGATCACTGTTCTTGAAGGCTGGAAAGCCGTAGGAGCAACGTGTGTTTGCACATTTTGCATCCTAATCCTAGTATAGCAAAACTCTGTGCTCTATTCATCTCTATGTAGTTACGTATAGATTGGTATGCCTAATGCACTGTAACATAAATGGGCTTTATAATTCTCAAATTTCTAATCTAGAGACCTAATTCAAAGACTCTTTTTGAGCTCGGTTTCATTATAGAATCAATACTTGCTAAGTTTAGAACCATCAGTAATACACGTGAAGGAGGAAGCAGTGTCATTTACAGCATGAATGCCGAAACCTCTTGGCTGTTTCTTACATGATGCATGCTTGGCTTCACCGGGGATTTGTGAGAACAGAAAGCTGGGGGTACCACAGGGCATCTCCTTCTCTACAATCACCCACCCTCCTTTTGGCCTGCAAAGGCTGCCCGGATGCCGGCCTGTACAGACAGGCAGCAGTGTGGCTCCACATTTGTACCAAAATGACCGCCAGCCCCGGCATAGCCTATCTTTCCTAAGTCAAGGGGTATCTGCAAATTGAGTGCCACGCTTCTTAAAACACAGTCTGTCTGCTGTCCTCTTCACCAGGGGCCTGTCACAAGCGCAGGTTCATCTGATTGCCTCTCCTTCCCCTTTGTTCTAGCCGCTGCTACTGTTGCTGGGTCTGGGGGTCTTCGTAGAGGCCAGAACAATAGTGCCACAGAAGCCAGGCTGCGCGAGCCCCGAGGTGGTGAACTTCCTCCAGGAAGTGAAGGTCAACCTGAGCCTCCCCATCTCCCTCAGCCCCAGAGTGAACTCCAGAAAGGCCGCAGACTATGCGACCCGATCCACCTCTCCTTGGGATCTGCGGTACGTAAGGACCTCCGATAAACATCGGTTCTGCTTTCCACGCACTGGGCCTGCGGCCCACTCACCCTGAGCACAGTTTCCTTCACTGAGAACCGCCCACAAAATCCAGAAGGTCCAGACAGCAGAGCGATCATTCTCCAACTTCCCCCTGTACACCTTTCCACTAGCACACAGGATGACACCTACCCTGCTCTATTTTGTGGATCACAGTACCAATCAACTGAGTTAACGCTAACTATTCTAATATTTGTCCTAAATATTATCTAGTACTTACCATCTAGCTATTTTTTTTAATTCAACATTTGTCATAGGGCGTTAAGGGTTGAATTGTAGCTACCAGAGACAAGGATTAGCAAGACTTGTTAAAAAGTAACGATTGGCTAAGCTTTTTGTGTTTATCTGTGCTGGAGTTACTCACTATAAACCCTGAGAAAATGCAAGTGGACTCCAGGGGGAGGAAGGACGGTGTTGGACATTTCTACTCCTTTATGAGTTCCACAGCCTTGACCACCAGTCCACTCCCCACAGATCTATGCTGGCTGTGGCCTGAGTATGCTCACCATTTAGACCCCAGTAAGACTTAAGAGGAGCCTATAGATTTACCCGACTACCTTAGCAAGAATAGCTAACCTGTCAATGTGTAAGTCAAAGAAACACATTCATTCTGCTATAAGGAAGGAGGGAAGACAAGATTGCCACTGGACCTTAGCTTTTGTTTCCAGCCCTCCTGGTGAGACCTGCCTCATTACGTGATCTCAGAGGCAATTCTGAGATACCCCATGAAACCAGACAAACAGCTATCTTATTCCCCCTGAGTTCAAGATTCCTTTGCGGTTCTCAACCTCCCCCAAGTCAAAACACATATGCTTTGGGTCAAGCCTAATACCTTCCTGCGGTCTTTTATCTAATTTTGCTCACTCTTCCAAGAAACAAGGAAGAAACAGCCGTTACTCTTTTCTGTCATACGCCATGTGCTTTACAATACAAATGTTGGAGGTCGAGGGCATTCAGTGGGGAGATGGGGGTCAATCAGCTTGCCATGAGCAGGGCACTGGGTGGCCCACAGCACTGCCGAGGGAGGGAGGGAGGGAGGGAAGGAGGAAGGGAGGGAGGGAGGACAAAAAGAAGCAAGTCCAGAGTTCTGCATGCAGTCTGCCATCTGGTTTTGCGCTGCCAGTCTTGCAGCCCCACAAACATCCTTTTCTTCATTTACCCGCTTTGATTTTCATCCTGCGTCACCTGGAATTCACTCTCCTCCTGGTTCTTTGTCACCCGGCAGACGCAGAGAGGACCCCGAGAGGTACCCGGCGGTGATCTGGGAGGCGGAGTGCCGCCACCTGGGCTGCGTGAACGCACAGGGGGAGGTGGACCACGGCATGAACTCTGTGCCCATCCAGCAGGAGGTCCTGGTGCTGCGGAGGGAACCGCAGCACTGCCCGCCCTCCTTCCGGCTGGAGAAGATGCTGGTGGCCGTGGGCTGCACCTGCGTCTCCCCCGTGGTGCGCCACGTGTCCTGAGCGAGGGCCACGCGAGGCCCGAGGCCCTGCCCCGCCCCACCCCAGCCACGCTCTGACCACCACTGCACACCTTCAAAGGCACTTGGCAGACAGCGCACCAGCCCCTCGGGTGTAGCTCAGATCTCCTGTTCTTCTGCCTGAGTAGGAAGTTTAGAAGGAATGGCCATTTGCTTCTTGCTTGCTTCTCTCCTGGGTTAATTTATTTATGTATTTAATACGTCCTGAAATGACTTGAGGGCATCAGGTTTCTTTTTCATGAATTACCTACCCTATTATTTTTGTGCTTCTTTTTAAAGAAGACAAGATTTGAAACTTGCAAAGTTTGTTATGTAAAAGGTTAAAACAAAACTATATTTATATGAGCTATTTATGGATCTATTTATATATCTTAAGTCTTTCAAGAAAGGTGAAGGAGATGATTTTCAGCTCTACTTAGAGAGATCCTAGATAGGATGTTGGGAGTTTCCGAGTTTTTACAATATAGAGATATAAGATTTTTCTCCTCTTAAAAGTGTAGGACAGGCTAAGCACTGTTGGCTCACACCTGTAATCCTAGCTATTCAGGAGGCTGAGATCTGAGGATTACAGTTCAAAGCCAGCCTGGGCCGGAAAATCTGTGAAATTCTTATCTCCAATTAGCCACCAGAAAACCAGAAGCTACACTGTGGCTCAAGTGGTAAAGTGACAGCACTCAGGCCCAGAGTTCAAGCCTCACAACCAACAACAACAACAACAACAAAAGCAAAGACATAGCTGAAGGACTCAATCTCATTTCTTATTTATTTAAGTTTTTTTAATTATTGAGGTTTTTGTAAGAGACGGCAAGCCTCTCTGTTCTATTAAACCCTTGCAATTAATTGCTCTGTAATAATAAAGTTTGAAAAGAAAATTCATTGCCTTTCTTATTAAAAGCCTCCTGCACTCTCCTCTCTGGAGACCCATGTCCTCAGATTCTGCCCAGTAAAGCTCAAAAGCCTAGTTACACTCTTGATGGCTCCCTCCTTACTGAACATGAGCAGACTCTTTCCCATCATTATTCTCTTCTCAACAATACAGAATCACTGTTGTTGGCACAGTGTTTGTGTGATCTAGAGATGAACTGAGGTGTGTGGAAACATGCATAAACTACATCTACACATTTTGTTGACACTAATGCCCCAAAGATACTACAGGTCATCTGTACGTCAGTAAGTTCTCCTCTTGTCTATCTGGAGGAGCATGTGCAGCCACCTGCAGACCAAAACAAAGAAGACCTCTGAGCTGCCCAGGCCGGATGCTTCCATTTCAGCTGCTTCAAGATGCCCGAGCCAAGGCCCCGTCCCACCAGGCAAGGCTGCGCAGAGTCGCTCCGCAGTGGATTCAGCAAACACAGCAACAGCCCCGGGGAGAGAGGTAAAGATCAAATGGGAAAAATAAGAAAACTTCCCCCAAAATGCCGTGCAAGAGGAACCCCATTCAGACCAGGGTGTGCAGAGTCTCAGCCCTGGGGGATGGAGGCCCACCAAGACAACAAGGCACACAATTCCATCCTAGAACAGCTCCCCCCCCAGGAGCCTGTCCCCTCCCAGGGCTGGCCTCTGGCCCTCAACGCACCCAAGGACACAGAAAGGAGTCTGTGGGGCGGAACAAGCTTGAAGTGTGGGAAAAAACTCAAGTAAAAAAAGAGCCAACGCACATTCAACTCCAGTCCTTTTTCACCTGTGGAGGCATAACCACCCTCCTCGGCCCAGCCCTCCAGCTTGCCCTGCTTCTGGAAGCCTCTAGAAACCTCCAGAAGTTTCTGGGGCAGTCCCACTGGCTCCCAGTTTCTTGAAAAGCCATCCCTTTCGTTCCTCCATTCTTCAGCAAACTCTGGCTCTACCCGGAAGTCCACGGCCTTTCCCTCCTTCCTTCCTGATGCCAAATCCGGGGCTCGGCCTCCCCAGCCCCCCTCACCAGTGCCACCCCGCGGCTTTCTCCTACGGCCTCAGCCTCCCCCGGACGGGCGGCCGCCTTCCCCAGGCCCAGGCCGCTAACATTTTTTATTTTAACATTTTTGGATTTTAAAACTCAACCCTAGGGCTGGGAAGGTGGCTCAGTGGTAGAGCACTTGCCTTGCATGCATGAGGCCCTGGGTTCGATTCCTCAGCACCACATAA